CCTTTTTCCGTTTGATTCTAGAACGAACTGCTTTCTCTCGACTTCGGTTCCGCTATTCGGATCATCCAAACCGTCGCTGGCTACGCTTCATCGTCTCTATATCTTGCTGGTTACCAAAAATTTAATGCTCGTGTGTGTGTACTCTCCGTTTTTAATGTAGGAGCTATTTGACACATTTATCAATTTTTTTAAGCTAATCTTATTAATATTCTCTCAATAATAATCTAATAAGAAAAAAATAATTAAAAAATAATTAGAGTGTTTTAGAAAAAAATATCATATTAACTAATTTAATAATATTCTTAGTTTATTCAGATCAGAGAAAAGTATTACCTCTGGTCTTTAATCATAGCATGTGTTCTGTGATTTTTCTGAAATACTTTTGTGTATCATTAAATTATATATATCTATTTATTTAAGTAAATTAGTTTGAAGAAAAATTATAAATATAAATGTGTTAAATTAAATTTTTAGTTTCCTCAATTTTTTAAAATTAATTAATTAAGTCTTATATTAAGAACTGTAATATAGTGGAGGGGTTTGTATATGCATATTAGAGTGACAAGTACTAATTAGGGACTTAAAATTAAAATAATAAGCAGAATTGGATCCACGAACTCTTGCATTGATTAAAGAAAAGCTATGGTGACAGAAACATGCTCCAGCATTCAGGAAAATCCTCGGGATGCTATTCTTTTGCATTGTCTGATTAACAGCAGTCGTCAAATCTCAGTCCATGAAGCTGGAGGCCCTCCCAAATGAATATTATAAATCATATCAATACTTCTGTGGATACTTAATTAAACAGCCGCGTCCCTTTCCCATGTGCTGGTGATAGCCACTTCTTTCATACAAAGGCTCACTCCATGTCTCCATCAAGTTACGTTCATAGATAAAATACAGACGCACGACGCCCACCCACGGATGACCGCAAAACCCACACATAGGCCAGAGTACGAGTGGCCCCCTTACACAATGTTTGGTTGGAAGGTTTTTGGAGGGATGGAAAGAAAGAAGAGAAGAAACTGTGTTTGGCTTGAAGGAGGAAGGACAAAAATTGTTTTTTAGTGCTCTCGTCTCGGATTTACATTGGGTGCTTATCAGTTTTGATGAGCACCCAATGCTCATCAGATCTAGACGGTCCAAATCTGATTTGGACTGTTCAGATTTAATATTATTAAATAATTATTTTAAAATAGAAAAAATTATATTTTTAAAAATGATAGTTAAGATTAATTACTTTTTAGAAATAATTATTTTAATAGGTATAGGATAAAAGATAAACGTAATCTCTTAACTATCATTTTTAAAAATATAATTTTTTCTATTTTAAAATAATTATTTAATAATGTTAAATCTGGACGGTCCAGATTAGATTTGGACGGTCCAGATTGCTTGGCTCATCACCTGATGAGTACCGAATGGGGACCCCTCTCATCTCCTCCTTCCGTGTCCCTTTAAAAATTTAGAGTTTTTTTGAAAAAGAGAGAAACATTATTTCTTATCCTGACTAAATTATCCATATTAGTTTTTAAATATTTTAAGTTTATCCTTTTCAATAAAAATATTTTTTTAACTCTTTTTTCTTTTTAGCCCCTACTATTCTTCTACAGATGTTCTTTGTTTTTTTCCTTACATTTTTTTATTTCATAATTTTTCACGCCCTTCGCCATTACTCTTTTCCATCTGTTCCTCTTGCCTAATCCCCATTTCATTTATCTTATCAATATTATTAGTATTTTTTTATTCATTTATTCTGTATAAAGCTATTCTTTATGGATTTACATGAGTTGTAGTCAATAGGGTCTATTAGAATGATATTATTAGTCACCAAATTTATTGATATGCATGCCCATATATACCTATTTTAATTCAATTTTATTTTTTACACAAAACTCTATGTGTTATCTAATCAGGCACGTGAGGCTACGCACATTATCTAATTAAGGATGAAACATTTCAAAGCTTATTGCATAAATTTATTTATAATTTATATAATATGTTAAAGATTATAATATACTTCTTTAATTGACATTTATTTTGATCTATGATTATTTATAATCTATTTGTCATATCTCAGCTCTCAAGGTAACTGTTTTTTTTCATATATTTATAAATTAGAAAATGATAATTATGATATAAATATTGTAACAAAATAATAAAAAAAGTGTAAATAAAGAGATAAGGATATATATGTCAACTTATAATTAGCACCCCTCCTTTCTTGAACCAAACAAGAAACCTTCCCTCCGCTTCCTTTCCCTCAAACCAAATAAGACTCATAACTTTCCATCTCCTGCTCTTCCCTCCCCTTAATTAACCTCCCATTCTCTCCCCTCCATTGGACCAAACAAAGCTTTAGACTTGCTATGGCCATTGCCCTTTTTTTTTTCATTTACACTATAAGTTTTCTTTTACAATAGAAACTAATTTTTCTCAAAGTTTTTTGATGGCGCGTCTGAGTGATTGTTAGCATTAGTATTAGTATTTACCAGTACTATTAAGAAGACGCCTTTTTTTCTTTTGGGGGGGGGGAGTTTTGTTACACTAAATTACAAGCTCCGGCTAAAAAAGAATTTATATATCTACTTATATATAAATTCTTTGTCATATTGGTGGTAGGATTTAAATTCACGCCGTTACAAAATATGGGTTACATATACTTCCTAGTTGGATCAATTTCTATTTGTAAGTTGTACACATTTTGGTTCCAATTTCCAATATCTAATTCATAATCATAAATTCATAAGACGTACCTTCCCTAAATATAGTTATGGTTTGGGTCGTGTGAGTACGAAGGAAGGCTGGGTATTTCATGGAGGCCGGAGAGAGTGATTTGGGAACAGATCTTGTGCTCCTGCTTCAGTAATGAAGTTGTTAATTAAGATTTAGGGGGTTGAAGCAAAAATGAAATTGAACTCTGCATAACAATAGGCAGCCGGCAGAAAGGCCAGTAGCCCTATAGACCTGCCGGCTGGATTATTGAATGCCTCCACATCTCTATGCTCCGTGAAAATGAAAGGGAAAATGACAATTATGGAGCGGTGGAGCCTCAAAACATTGAATTAGTCAATGTTCTGTCCGGTTTAAAATATAAAATAAACGTTATTCATTTATATTTTTTTAAAAATTAGTTAAAATCAGTTTAACACCATAAATATGTAAGTTATGTATTTTTTTCCAAATATGTCCTTATTAATTAAAAGAATAAATAAAAGATATAATAAATGAATCAAATAGGAAAGAAAATATATGGGGATAAAATTGAAACAAACTCATTAAATACTTAGATAAAAGTAAATGTTATCTTATAAAAAAATCAAGCCCATCCAACAAAATTTAACATATATTTTGAATCGAATGGAGTGCTAATAGTTACATTATAGTAGTATCCCTTTACATATATTTTAAAAAAAAATTATAAGTATCAACTCAAACGGTTGAAAATAGAATGAAGTTGCATTTGAAATTCAAATACTTCTTTTAAATAATTAACATACGAGCTACTTAAAGAATTTGGATAGAATAAAAAAGTAAAATAAATTAGTTGATTATAACAAATGTGAGATTATATCTATAAAATACATTGACATAACCTTAGATTATATATTGCTTTATAATTTGGATAAAATTATTTGAGAAAAATAATAAATATTATAGACAAAATGGATTAAAATTTTATGTTTAGAACGAATTCAACTCTTAACTAATTTCTATATTGAGAAAAAAAATATATCATATTTGTGATCCAAACCATTGAATTTATAGTTGTTTGAATTGATACTTAAAACTCATTTTTTTAGAAAAATTTGTCAAGAACCCTCACCATCATAAATTTATTGTTCTGAAATCTCACTGTCATTCTCCTCGAATGAAATTCAGACGGGGCGAGTAATCCAAAAATGGTACAGAGTCCTTGATAATAGTACATAATTGATGAAGAAGTCTTTTCAATTAATCAACTACTGCCCCGCATGTAGACAACTCATACCACTCTGGTTCTTTTTAATTCTCACTTACAGTAAAGAATTTTGATTTTTTTTAATTTATCACTTATATCTTTTTTAATGTTTCATTTTCAATTCTACCCCTATTAATTAAAGGAGACAAATATAAAAAAGAAGAGAAAGGAAATGAGTGAGAAAAAATATACTAACTATTTAATAAGGATAAAAGTAAAAGATTTTTTATATTTAATGACTTCCTTAGCATGTAAGAAACTACTAGAAGTTACAATTAAAAAGGATCAGACTGGCATATTATTCATCTAGACAGTATGTTTATCTAACGCATGGTTGTGGTCTTGAAGTGTGTGGCACGAATGGTTATCCTTTGAAACCAAGGGAGGCTGGGCTTGCCAGCTTTTATTAGTTAGTTAATAGGGAGAGGAGAGCTATAGAGGGCTTGAATTTACCGATGAATCGCCCGTTTTACTTAATAATCACCAAGTTCAGTTTAATTAAATGTTACTATTAACTTTAATCATTTATACCAGGCACTTAAGTAGTCCGCACATTGGTCGTTTAATTGGTCCTTTCTTTCATTTATAACCCAACGCGTAGCTGTTAATTTATTGTGTTCAACGCGAAGCTATTAATACGAGTTTGGAGTTCTTTTCATTATTCAAATGTAAGATTCGAGCGTTCGAAGTAGAAGTAGTTAGTTGGGACCACACCCTGCTGATGACGGTGCTGATAACTGTTGATATTTTTATGCATTCAACCAATGCGAGAACTTAATTTGACTTGATTCATATAACCGATGATAGTTCGTCCAGATTGAAAGATTCTCTTCATTCTATCTCTTAGCTTATTTGTGTGATGAGGCAAACCAAAGGATCGATCGATTAAATAATGTGAGACACGTTTTAGCTGCGAACGCACAGTACATGTGTGTTTCATAATCACAAACGTTGTTATCACTAATCACTTTAAAAAGACACAAACTTGGCACATAAACAAACTAATCCCTAGTTAAACTACTTCTACGCACAGAGAGAGATGGTGAGAACCCCATACAGCAACCAAAATGGCCTCAGGAAAGGAACATGGACACCAGAAGAAGACATGAAGTTGGTTGCTTATGTTACGAGGTATGGCTGTTGGAATTGGCGACTACTCCCCCAGTTTGCTGGTAATTGATTGATTAATTAGCTTTTAATCCGACCTTCATTTGCTGTTCTTGCGGATCGGTTTGCTGAATTTCCATATCAATCTATCCATCTTTGGTCGCCTTGCTTCAGCCATTCTGATAATGAATACTGGTTTTTCAGGACTGGCGAGGTGTGGAAAGAGTTGCAGGCTTCGGTGGATGAACTATCTAAGACCAGACATCAAAAGAGGGAATTACACTCCACAAGAAGACAACACTATCATCAGACTTCACCAAAAAATGGGTAATAGGTACTCTCTGCAGTTTTAATTACAAGAGTTTCTTACTTAACTCATAGAGATTACGAAAAATAAGGTAAGCTAGTCATTAATTTATAATCAATGAGTAATAATTTGTGATCATTTTTCCAAAATACCCTTTGTTTAATGAGACAATTGACTTCTAAATTAGTCTGGATCAGCTAAAAAAGTTTTTTACATTGTACGTGAGGAAAAAATTATCTCCAAAGCATTTAAGTATTTTTTGTGTAGAGATCCCAAATCCATCCTGCTCATCTAGATTTGGAAAAAAAAATGGTAAATAGGAATGCGCTAAGTAAAAATAGTTAATGTGGTGGACAAAAATGAATGGAGTCTTACATTAATTATAAAATCTAAGTTCTCGATACAAAAATTCTATGGCTGAAATGGAATCCACAGTACGATTCAAAGTCTATTTCCAATGTTCTCATCCTATACATTCATCCGAAACAGCACCGCATCAATTTTATTGAAGACCAAACTAATCAGGAAACATGAAGAATAGACCAAAATTAGTACACAGATAAAAACACTCACATATACATACATACTGCATGCACGAGTATGGATGTATGGTTAATGATGAGAGAAAAATAAATATAATCTTTATATCCGTACAAGGTTACATAATAGTCCAAGGTGCAAGTGTTACTACTCATTATAAAGCAACTGATGATTAGCAAAAAGACTGAATTAAATGTATATAAGTATCTTTAGAAGAAAGCAAACAGTATCGCTCCAAACAAAAGCGTGCCCTTGCAGGTACTCCTCCAAAGCTACTCTTCTAACCTGCCAAAAAAGAAAAACCCAGAATGATGTCTCTCTACCAAAACCTTGATCTTGACATCCCATTTAAAACTAAGCCAGAAAGTGTTAGCAGACTGTGTCGCTCTATAAGAATTTGTTCACTAAACAAACAAACCTACTGGGTAACCATATTTGTACTGGCAAAAGAATATGTAAACCAGTATGCTGAGGCAAGTCTTAGAAGTGATTATTAAGCAGAGTGTTACATATATAAGAGATGATTAAGGACCACACTTTATAAATTGAAATTTCAAATAAAACATATATAAAGTTTTAATATCGAATTTAAAATATCTTAACATTAAAATTTTAATCTAGTGCTAAGCATAATCGTAACTTCCTGTTGTAAAATGTCGGCCGGGGACGAATGCTGCTGTCTATGGTCGTTTTGAATTTTAGGTGGTCCAAGATTGCTGCTTGTTTACCAGGAAGAACTGATAACGAAATAAAAAACCATTGGCACACCAATCTCAAGAAGAGGGTTCAAGAAAACTCAGTTGCGCATGAAGAACATAGAGCCCTCAAGTCAAGCGATCAAATTTCATTTGAATCAAGGCAAGAGTTCATCGACTCATCAGTCTCTATCAGTACAACCACTGCTCCTTCTCCACAATGTGATTCCATAGCAGATGAGTCCCAGAACTCAAGTACCTTCCAAGAGTCTTCCACAGATACTGCTGGTGGTTTCAGCAGTAATGAAAGTTTGGTTGGGAAAGATTGTTATAACTTGTCTACGCCAGATGCGCTCATTGAGACTATGGGTGGTGGTTTTTGGACGGAGCCGTACATGTTTGACTTTTCCTACGTCCCTCAGGAAGCATTGTTACCTTTGTCCCCTGAATACGAATACGATGCACATCTCTGGGAAAACAATCATGGCTTATTTTGACGAAGGCATTTTATAGTGAACGGAGAAAACTACCCAATAGAATGTATTTCCCCCTGGGGTATGTAACTTCCATATTAATATGTACTGTTGTGTGTTCGACTTTTTTCCTCCTTTTCCAGATGATGTGATATGTAATTTTTTTTTTTTTGGGGACTCAAGATGTGATATGTATTCAATGCGTAATAAGCCGAGAAGCTGTGGTAGGAGTGCTATATGTATTATGTTTAATTAAAACTCCACATATTTCTTTTGTGTTGTATGGTTGATAATGAATTGTATATCCAATAGATTAAAGCTAATGAATTCGATGTTTAGGGAAGAAGAAACAAAGTGTCCTCTCGTCACTGGTTGGTTCCCAACGAAAGTTGCAGGATAATTAACAAGCTAGCTAGATAGTTACTCACCTCATAAATTAACGGAAAGTTCTCATATATACAAATAATTTAAGAGAGCTTTGCAGTAATTGCTGGTTACTGGTTTCCTGAAATTATTGAAGTCTATTGTCTGCACTTGGATACATATTCTTCGGCCAACTATGTAGTTTTTTAATACAGAGTAGAGTTCGCAGCCTATATAAATATATATATAACACATAATTATTTATTATTAAGTACGTGTATTTATTCATAAATGGCTTTAAGTGAACTGACTGAGAGATGAAGATGAGAATGAGCGAAGTTTTGCATGGGAGCAAGGAAGCCGTAGGTTACTCTATTTTTGGCACTTACTGTTTCTATATACGTGGGTGCCGTGTATCACCTTGAAAACAAAGAAAGAAGAACAGATGGAATTCATTGCCATAGGTTACTTTATTTTTGGCACTTACGTACTCAAAATACTTAGGGACGTTTGGCAAGATGAAAAAGTAAAAGCACTTTTCTGTAAAAACAAAACAGCTTTCTTTATATATTTATTTCATATATCGTAAAAACACTTTTAAAACTATAGTTTGATTTTCATGCAAGCACCCTCTCAATCATTGATGCAACCATGGATATAGGTAGCCGACCTACCTAAAAATTTTGACTAGCCTCTTCGATGATTTCCAAGTAAGCGTACGAAGAGACAGATTTGGAATGAATATTACTAATCGTTGGCTTTAAACTTGTGGCAGATGATTATTGGTATTCATATTTAAATCTGGGTTAAGATGCAATTTTGACTCTGATCTTATTTCTCAGATGCAATTTTGTCCCTAATCTTTTAGTAGTGCAATTTTGCACCTGATCTTATTTTTCAGGTGCAATTTTATCATTGATCTTTTTTTTTAGGGTGTAATTTTGTCACTGATCTTTGAGTGCAATTTTGACCATGAGGGGCAAAATTACACCCAAAAAAAATCAGGATTGAAATTGCACCACTAAAAGATCAAGGGTAAAATTACACCTAGAAAATAAGATTGGGATAAAATTACACCTTAATCCTTTAAATTTTAAAAAATTTCTTTATTTGTTGCCGACATTGTGAAGCACTCGTGCTTACATGTTGCCGGCTGACGAAACAAAGAAACATTGGCAGCACGGAGCACGCATACAACAGAATTCAGGCAATAATGAAAAAGCGTCGCGTCTCCAGATCAAAGCATGAAAGTGTATCAAAACGCCATTCGAATGGATTGTCGTGAGTCGCTGTAAACTTGAATTCCAAAATTAAGAGAACCAGTAGTAAAAATATATTTTCATCCAAAACAAAATTTATTTATAAATAATTAAATGTTACTGTTTTACACAATAAAAGTATCCTTTTCTCAAGAAATAAAATAGGATTAGGGAAGTAGTTTATCAAAAATAAAATAGTATATTCATATTAAAAATTTAATGATGTAATATATAAATAGGCCCAAAAAAATTCTCACTTTACTTTGTAAATAGGATCAGAGAAATAATTTATATGGTGTTTTAAGAATGATAATTTTATCGTGTAAAATAGTAACATTTGATTATTTATAAATACATTTTATTCTGGACGAAAAGATATTTTTACTGCTGATATTTTGCGGGCCCTACATATATATTCATATCATCCTGTAAAAGCGTGGGATCCGCCTTGGTTTTCTGTAATTTTGGAATTCAAGTTTGTAGCCACCCACGACAATCCATTTGAATTGCGTTCTACCATTTGCTCCAAACGATTGTTATAGAGCCGAAGAGGAGGCGTAGTGGACGGAAACCTCAGTGGAGAGAAATTAAACCGCACCCAAAGGTCCCGTTTGGTATGAAGCATTGAAAATGAGGGATTGGGATTGGGATTGCAATTGAAAAAAATCATTAAAATAATACTTAGCATGAGTAATTGTTTGTTATATAGGATTAGACAAACTCATAAAAGTGGGATTGGAGAATACCACTTCCCCCCATGGTATTCTCCAATCCCACATACATGGCTTTGGCTAATCCCATATATCAAACAATTTCTTATACTAAACACTCTCTTAATAGATTTTTTCAATTGTAATCTCAATCCCAATCCCTCATTTTCAATGCTCCCTACCAAACATAACCAAAGGTTTTAAGGCAGGAAAGTATCAGCTCTACCAAAGGTTTTGTAGAAGTGACAAATCAAAATTTAAATCTTAGCTAGGAAAGTTATCACGTTTAGTATCCTACCATATTTCGAATTGTCCATACAAGTATACTTGTGACTTGTGAATATTTTATTGTATCTGCCTTGTCTATAAGTAGGACTGGTAAAATGGGCCAACCCCAAGTTGCAGGTTGCGGGTCATACGGGTTATGCTCAAAGGCTCATTTTCTGCACAAGCTGGTATTCTGCCAACTCTAACCCTCTAACTTGTCAGATTTTTTTTTAATTTTTTCTTATAAATAATCAAAAATTAAAAAAATGATTTAAATTATTCTAAGCATCCAAATAAAACTACAACACATTAAAACACAAAATATACGATTGTTCAAAGTCCAAACTCCAAACATGATAAAAACACAAGTTCAAACATAAAATTTTCTAATAAAATCAACATGTAACAATAAATAACCATTTTGATCTAATTATCTCTAATGGTGATGACATTTGAAGCTGAAGTATTATTTGAAGCTGGCTCAATATTGATTTTGACAGTAGTAACTAGTAGGACTTCAGTTTTCTTGCCTTTCCAGAATTCCAGTCCACCTCCTCCCAATTTTTTAATATAAAAAAAATTAGGCCGGTTCCCGTGGTGAGCTGGGGCTGTGACAGTGCGGGCTCATATTTTTCAGGTGATAGCGAGTTGACCAAAGGCCAAACCTAACCCGCTATTTTTGACAGGTTAGCAGGTATGATCTGTGGGTCAAACTCATATTCCCGGCTCTATCCATAAGAGAGCAAGATACGGCTATTATATTATATAGAGGGCAGAGGCGGTGTGCGGGCGGGCCACAGGGGAAGAATTTTCTCAACTCCAATGGACCGTAGCCCTTTGAATACTCTGTCATAGAATGGGCACTGCATCTGCATCTGCATCAGCACTATGAAACCACTTTTTGGGCTTTTTATTGTTGGGCTTCTTCGGGCTACGCTTTGGACTGTGCTTTTAATCCCTCCCACATAACCAACGTCCAAATTAAAAGTTATTTTTCCTGTAATAATGGGACAACTAGCGGTCATTAAAAAGGGTCATAACACGTCGGTAAATAACAAAAATTTGTTTCTGGAAGTCGACTATTCTTGACATCGGAGAAATGTAGAATCCAGAAAGACCTGACATGAAAAAGAAAGTTTTTTTTTTTGTTTTTTTGTTTTTACCGAGAACATGGAAAAGAAAGTTTGATCAGCGTGTTTTTCTTCTTAGACACATGGCAATGTGACATATTTTTCATTGAAAGTCTTTTAATTTTATTGCCATTATATAGTTTATTGCAATGTTAGTTATAGCTAGTAATTACTGTGGTACATTTGAATAGTACTCCCTCTGTCCTTTTTTATAAGTAACATATGACTCCATTACATAGATAAAAAAGTTTATTAAAAACAATAGATAGGTAAAAATTAAAAGTTTTTTCTCTAAAATATCTTTATTTGTAGGGAGAGAGAGTATAAGAAAGAGAATAAAAAAACTATTATAATAAAAAGAATTATGAAAGAGAGAGAATGTGTGATGGAAAGAGATGATAGTTTGGAAAACGAGATAATAAATATATTGAATATTAAAATAAGTAATTAATAGTTTAAAACAGGAAATTTTCTAAAAAAATTTAACACAATTTGCAAATGTTGCTTATATTTAGAAATAAAAGAAAAATTGTAGTTGTTGTTTATAAGGAGGGACAGAGGGAGTGGTGTTCAATATAGTGTAAAATAAAATGCGGATTGATAATAGTATAGTCTGTACGTGTTGCTTCTAGTCTGCTATATATAATATATGTACAATTGAAATGTTAGTTCAGGTTAGAAAAATTATTCTCTTGTTTTGTTATAAAAAAGGACTTTTTAGGTCGGCATGCGCAGATATATCTACGCCGTTTTTACTGTTGTAGATACTCTTATCAATTGATCTTTTCCTGTTTCTACTAGTATCTCTTTTCTTTTTGCTTTCATACGAGTATCTTATCTCGTGCAATATAATATTTTCTCTCTTGGAATAGCCCTTCAATCTCTTGATGTTACATGGAGCAGCAGAGAACAACTCTTCATATGAAAGCATCCACGTACTTTGATGTTCACTCTGCTTTGGATATGAGAGAATCGAATATTCCCCATGAGAGTTTAGAAAATATTATATCATGGCGTTCTTTCCTGGAAAAATTCTTAGAGAAAAAAAGCGTTTTCTCACATATTTTCGATCGGTAAGGTTTGTTCACATGTAAGAATGAATTGTTTTAGTATTTAGTGCAGCAATAAGCGGTTGTCTCCAAGGTTTCCTCTAAAAATCAGAAGGAATCAATAATCATATGATCACTACACGCCAGGTCAGGCCGCGGCCGCCATGGTCGATTTACGAGTTGACCCTATTGTCTTCCAAAACTTAATTATGAAGCGGAGGGAGTATGTTACTGTTGTATTACCCG